GGCCTTCCTGGTGTGGGAAATAAATACCCTGTAGGCATGATCTTGAGCAGCTAGCAGCTTCAGAAGAGGAGCCTGGACCTTTGGCGGGTTTTTCTGACAGGGCAGGGGGAGAGAGGGGTGGGGCCCAGCTGTACTTTGAGTGTTGTAGAGAATCGAAGCTTATGGATGTTAGGGCACTGGGGCTGAGGGCAGATATCGAGGGTTAGCATTCATTACAGTCTAAGGAATTTAATAGCCCTACAAAAGGAGTCCCAGGTCCCTTTAAGGAGTTCACCATTGTTATGGTAAAAATAAAACGCGGCAGTGGGCAGCGGGCACAAGACCACAGTGGGCCACGAAGGCAGCTGGGTTCCAGGCAGGGAGCCCTGAGTGGCCCGTGGGCTATGAGGGCCAGCGAGTCCTAGGCAGGGAACCACATGGTGGGTGAGAGACCGAGAGGGGTAGGCACACCAGGCAGAGTGAGGTTGGGTATTTATTTAGTGGGTTATGAAAGGGGAAGGGGAAGGGAGAAGGGGAAAAGAGAGAAGAGCAGAGAGAGAGAAAAACAGGGAGGGTGAGAGGGAGGGAGTGGGGAGGAGAGGAGCCACAGCAGCAGCTACCTCTTTGGGAGAGAGACAGAAAAATAGAAGCTCAGATTAGAAGCAGAAGGAAGATTTGCCTGCTTCGGTGGGTGTGGGGGATTAGGAGTGTCTTGTCTCTTAAAGAGACAGACCATTATATTCCCATCTCTTTTTTGTAATAAAAGGCTGGAGGTTAGGCACAACAGGTTAAAGGAAATGGGATGGCAGATTCTCAAGACTGCTTCCTGCTGGTTTGTGGGTGTCGTCTTTGGGGGGAACATGGGAAATCTGGGTGCTGGTCACATCCTGGGGTAGCTGGTCTCTTTGCTCCTGTTCAATGACTGTGGTATGGAAATGTCTGGTGTCTCTTATACCTGTTCAAGGTATTGGCAGAACAGAGGACAAAGTTAAGTTTAGGAAAAAAAAAATCTTTAGGGCCAGGGAATTGAGAGGGGTATATCTGACCTGTTTAAGGTGGATCCTTCAGGACCAGGGAATTGAGAGGGTGTATCTGACCTGTTTAAAGTGGATCCTTCAATTCAGCTCCCTGGAACTCACAAGAATTCTTTGGTCTTGTGAAAACATAAGTTTTAGACATATACATTGTATAAGCAGTAGCAAAGTTATGTCAGAATGACTGTGACAGATGTTTTTGTACAATGAAAAGTATTTTTAAGACTATGGAAGGCAGCATAAGAGAGAAATTTGATAACTTGTATTTGTCCTCACACCTTTATAACTTGCAGTTACACACCTTAATAACTTGTATTTGTATTTTGCTGAAATTTGTTTGGTGAGGTTGTCCTTATAAACCAATAAAACCTCTCAGCTGTCAAACTGCATCAGAGATCTTTGAGAAGGATAAAATTTTACTTGAGTTATTGATTAAAAAACAACAGAGAACTTACTTGGTTGGCACCTAGAGCTACTTCTCAGGGTTCTCCATGGTCACTGAGGGTCGTATTTTTCTTTTTCTTTTTAGTGCAGGGCCTGTCAGGCTCCAGAAGATCCTGTGGGCTAAGAAATCTGTAGGAAGACAAGCCTACCTTGACCTGAGCAGCTAGGCTGTCGATTCCAGTGGTTCTGTCCCCTGTCTGGAGATCTTCAGTTTAAAAAAAAAGGCAGTTTGGGACTGGAGAGACGGCTCAGAGGTTAAGAGCACTGACTGCTCTTCCAGAGGTCCCGCGTTCAATTCCCAGCAACCACATGGTGGCCCACAGTCATCTATAATGAGATCTGGCTCCCTCTTCTGGCATGCAAGCATACATGGAAGGAATGTTGTATACATAATAAATAAATAAATCTTAAAAAAAAAAAAAAGGCAGTTTGTCCCAGTGGTCAGTGCTTGGCAATTGAAGTGAATTGTGGATAGATTTTGTTCTGTGCTTTTACAAAAATCCTTTTAAATTGGGGCTATCTAACATCTAATATAAAATAAACAAGGCTCCAAAAGCCCACGGTTTCTAGATGCGTGCTCCAGCCCCTGCTTCCCCCACTCCCCTCCCCACTTCTCTGTCCCTCCCTGCTTCCCCAGCTCCCGTCCCAGCTCCCCCTTCCTGTTTCTCTAGCTGTTTGTCTCACTCTGAGATTCTCTAAAACAAATCTGTTTCCCCCGTCCTTCCACTCCTCTGGCTTCTGCCACCTAACTACGCCAGGATTTTAAGTTGGCCAGCTGACACAGGTTTCTAAAAGTGTTTTGTCTGTCTGTTAAAATAATGTGGCCACAGTATGTCTGTGTAAGTATGTGGATTTATGTTTCTGTATGCATGTGTGCTCATTTTAAGATAACTCCAGACTAGCAGTCTGAGAGGTGGCTCAGAGGCTAAGAGCGCCTAACGCTCCGCCAGAGGACCCAAGTTCGAGTCCTGTCTGGCTCTAAGCAATCAATAAATCGCTATCAATAATCGGGGGGAAAAAGATAACTCCAGACTAAAATAGCTCTAAAAAAATACAAACATGTGGGTAACCTGCATTTTGACCTCATCCATCTTGGATAAGAGTACCTACATGTGCTGGTATTCTATGACTTATTGAAATATTCCTTTTAATCTTCTTTCATTAACTAGCATTGGTAAATTGTAACTAATTGGATAAAATACACGTCTAAATTTAGCTTATATGCTTAGTTTAAAATAACAGGTAATGGTACCCAATCCTTAAGTGCCTTTACAGATACGAGGGTATGGGCATTTAACAAAAGAGCTCCTAACACAGAGACTGCCAGCTTTGGCAGCATCCTATAACTTCTCAAGAAGACGCATGGTTACAGAAGACCTTCCACCTCCAGGCTTGCCTTTGACTTTGGCAAAGCCACCCACAGAGCAAAAAGCGGCTTTTCACCTCTTCAGCTTCCTGGATGCCACCCAGGGGATGGATCATCTCATCCTACCAAGACAGGTAGACTAAATCTTCCTTACTCATAGGAAAATCTTTAGGCCTCTTGTGCTCTGCAGCTAATGGCAAGCACTGCTTCTAGGCTGGTGTTTTCCAAGGACTAAGTAGAAATTTGGGATTGCCTGCGTAGCTAAAAACAACTGTCTCATTTCTGTTCATTTATCCCCTTAGATCTGTCTAATGGCATTTGATGACTTAAGGTACTGGTAGCTCATTACTTCATTTGTTAAGTTTCCTGCTAAAAATGCAGACAGGTGTGCCTCTTTCACAGACTTCATAGTCCAGGACTAGCAGGTTTCAGGTGTATCTTAAAAATCCAGAGTTCCCAATTTCCTTTACTTGTCTTAAAGCAATAGCCTTTTGCTATGACAACAAGATGTAAATCTGTTCCAGTTCTCTTACAGATACCTACAGGTTCTGGGAAAAAGTTCTACTGAGTTATCAAAAAAATCTGGTCTGATAAAAACTAACAGATGACTAAGAATGGAGAGCACATACTTCGGTGTGCAACTCGAGTGTTTCAGAGTGTGCAGGCCTGTGATCTGAGTCACAGCACCAGGAATGTGTTACTGGACTAGAGCTCCCCTTAGTTTGTGTTTTCCTGAAGGCAACAATGTAGCCAAGGCATGGGGTGGTCTAAGCAGAACTTCACTTAGCAGAACAAAGCATAGAATGCTCCAGAGAGTTTGGAGGGTATCACATGGAGACCTATTATTACTTATAAATGTCCAGTCTTAGCTTGGCTGATTTCTAGCCACATTTTCTTAACTTAAATTATCCTGTCTCTGGGTTTTTACTCTATTTCAATATATCTTTTCTTTCCTTCTTATTTCATGTCTGGCTGTGTGGCTTGGTGACTGGGCTGTTTTATTTTTATGTCTATGGTCATTTAGTGGAATAATATTAGTAGGTTTCCCCGTAGGGCCTATGACCTGTCTAGAATCAGGTTCTTGACCTTATCGACAGTGTCAGATCTATGATAAAGCAAAGGTCATTATGAGTTGTTTTATTGCTACGTCATCTAGCAAAATAATAGTAGTAGGTTTTTCCCTTAGGGCTTATGACCTATCTATCTAGTCTCATGTTCTTGACATTATTAACAGTGTCAAGTATGGGTTTCATCTCATGGAATGGTTCTTAAACCCAGTTTAAGAGGCTGGTTGCTTCCATGACATTTTTTGCCACAGTGGCACCAGAGGAGAGCATGTTTTGCTAGGCAGGCCATTGTAGTTTGAAGGTGCACAGCCAGGTAAGATGAACGACTTTTCTCCTCCAGTAACACGTGTGGCACCTTCCAGCACTGTGAACACTAGCCAGCAGTAGTGAAGTTTCCAGTTAAGTGATAACTAGAAGTCTCTATGTTCTGACATAAGAATGTGATGTCTTCAGCAATAAGACCTTACCATCATGCTGTGGATGGTAACCAATAGCATTAACAATAAAGTTTGGGGATGTTTATGAAATCCATTACCAATAGCTCAAAAGAGGTAACTTATCCCTGGTACTGGGGGGAGGGGGGTTATTTGTCATCATATAGTATCTAGTTGGGGCCTCTTGATAACACATTAACTCCATTCAAACTCCTCATTTTACATGTGCATATATTTTAGAGAGATGCTGTGAACTGCCAAGAATGGTCTGATTACTACAAATGAGGAGGCAGGTTCCAGGATGCTTGTCCCCAGTCCCTCCTGTCTTCCTTACAATATCCGCACAGCATGTCTAAGGTTGTTGGTTTTCGCAAAACCCAGAACGGTGTTCCGAACCCACCATCCCTCTCCCATGGGCTCAGGGGTCAGAGGAGAGACTGACAGCGAACAGTGGATGACAGGGAGCCTCAGCAATGAGGCACACAAGTGAGGGTCCAGGCTGTGCAGAATGACCGTCACCTGGGAAGGACAGCTTGTTTGGGGGTCTCATTCAATCCTGCTCAGTGTATGTCCAGAAACCTTCAGAAAGAGATTCTGGGTTGAATATACTGGGCTCTTATAATGAGATTTGCCTCCATTGGAGACCTTGAAAAAAGGCTCAGCAAGAAAGGAGGGCTCCCTGTTGAACATGTTTATTGCACAGCACAAGGACCCGTCACATTTCAGCCGTTCTGTTATTTACAGCATCCAAGCAGATGCCCGCTGCCCAGCCTTCCTGCTGGCATGCTGTGGCGCCGTGTGCAACCAAGGATGACTCCTGGCAGCTCCAGGAGATGCTGTCACTGGGCTTAGGACCTCAGCCGTCGCCAGCCACGCCCTGCAGGAGGAGGCCGAGCAGCAGAAGACTCAGGGCACCGCTTGCACTCGACCCTCCTCTGGTCCCTGACGAGAGGAAGCCTTTCAGGTCTGGAAAAGAACAGAGAATACATAAAGTTCATGGCTGTGGGCTTGGCTAAAGGAACATAGAGATGTCTGTACCCGGTCTCGCTAAAGCCCTCTTCTGTCTGGCTCTGAGTCTGGCCCTTTTATAGCTGGAATCTGCCCCTACCTCGTGCGGGTGTGCATATATAATCTCTTATGTACATGTGTGTATATAATTTTTTATATGGGCTTACAGTATTCTGCCTGGGACTCACTATTTAGACCAGGCTGGTTTCTGGCTCTCAGAGAACTTCCTGTCTCTGTCTCCTGAAGGCTAGGACAAAAGGTGTGCACCCCCAAACCCAGTCATCTTTATTCTTTTTCAGTACTGGATGACAAAACTCTTGCCTAGAATGTGTTCAAGACAAACAAATGAAAGACTTATTTTCCCTGCCTCCAGAGACATCTAAATTTTGGTGTGACATTAAAAACTGAAGGGAAAAGCCTCCACTGCTTTTACAGGCGAACAAACAGACCTTCCTTTCCTTAGCCTGACTCATTTAGTTCACGAGCGGAAGAGGGAGGCCTATCAGAGTGTTGTATGGGATTCAGCCAGGGCAAATAGAATGTAAAGCAGCTTGCAGCAGCTCTACATCTAGATTAGTTCTTTGTGTCTTTGTGTGCAGGTGTGTATTCACGTATGTGTACAAGGTAGTTGTATGCTTGTGGAGGACAGAGGTCATTCTTCAGGCATCATCCAGATTATTATTTTTTTTAAGACAATGGCTCATTTGGACGTGGGGCTCACAGATTAGGATAAGCTGGATGGTCAGAGAACCCCAGGGATCGCTTCATCAAAACACAATAAAAAATGAACAAAAACTAAACAAAACCCACATGAACGAACAAAGCATTGATGTTGGTTTGGATGTGGTGGTACACATCTTTAATCCTAGCTCTGAAGATGTAGAGATAGATGGGTTCCAGGCTAGTCAACAAGATGCAGTGATACCCTGTATGTCTCAAATCAGAAGAAAGACAGGAAGGGAGGACAAGGAGAAGGGAAGAAGGAGGAGGAAGAGCTTGGCCAATCACAGGAAAACACACATGGCACCAGGTGAGGACAGGGTCAATCATACAGGGTCACCTTCTCTGGGAGAATGGAGGCAATGGGATTATTCAGGCCCCTTAGGCAGTTGGGTCCCCCACACAAACTACAAGTTCAAATGCGTGGCTACATCAGGCTCTGTGAAATAAGCAACCTAGGGTCCCAAACTGGCCCTGTGACCACTGTGGTGTGTGCTTCCTAAGGAGATCCCTTGAGATTAGAAAGAAAAAACTTAGAACATCACTATACATTTAGATAAAAACTTTTAAAAAGTGTTTTAATATTTTATGTTTATTAAAAATCTACATTTTTTTATTCTGTGAACTGCCACTATTTTATGTCACACTATGAAAGGAAAAAAATCCTGTTACTAGTGGATAGTTTATTACTAGAACCTGAGACCTCATTATATTATTTACCAAAGGTCTTCTAAATTTTTGGACATGCCAAAGACCTTTGTCATGCCCATTACTTTTGGCATATGCAAAAAAGTAAAAAAAAAAAAAGAAGAAGAAGAAATGAAACCAAGTTTGACCACTTGCTTGCTACCTGTCAATGTGCCTTTATTGTCGAATAGACAACAGGATTGAATTACTTTTATTTTTTTACTCTTGGAGGTTTTAGAGATGTCTATGATAAGAACAATATCACATCTCAGTGAGAAGCAGATTCTCTTCTGAAGTCCCTCTGAGTCAGATGACTTTGCCACAAGAGGCAAGCCCACCAAGACAAAACCTCCCAGGGCATGTCTGTGGACAGCTGAACACTGAATATATATACTCCTGGGGTGGGGGGGGAAGCTGGGTCTACCCACAAAATTTATTTGTTGACTGGTTTGGTTTTTTTTTTCTTTTATGGTTGCCACATGTGCTGTTTAAAGGAAAAACCGAGAGCTAGACAGTGCTCAGTGGCTAGGAGTAGGTGCTGCTCTTGCAGAGGACCAGAGTTAGGTTCCCAGCACCTATGTCTGGTGGCTCACAGCCACCTGTAACTCTAGCTCCTCAAGCCCACTTCCAGCCTTCACAGACATCTGCATATATATGGCATTTTCACAAAGATAGACATGTACATATAAATAATAAATGAATAAATGTAAAAAGTGAAATTGTAGCAGCTTGGCCTAGGTTCATCTCATGTTCAGATGACCACACCAGCAGTCCCCTCTGCCCCAGACCCATGTTTGATGCTAGAGATTAAATCCGGGGTCTAGAACATTCTAAGTACATACGCTATCACCATGCGACACAAGAATCAGTTGATTTTTTCCCCTGGAGATGGAGCTCAGGGTGTGGCATATGCTAGTCAAGGCTAGCTAAGGCTCTGCTGGTGAGTCCCACCTCCAGCCCTTCTAACTTGATGCTCAAGATCATTTCTTCCTCTTTCTTGATGGCTGCTCTAATGGGAAGAGCTTCCACTGACTCTAGCCTGCACTAGGGGGAAGCTTTGCACTCTTTCATTTGGAGGACCCAGTCAGAGCGAGGAGACTCGTGGAGATCTTTCAGCCTGAAGGCTGTGGCGGGAGGGGGAGACACAGACAGAACTTTATAGGATGGTATTTATTTTTGATTCTTCCCACCCATAGATATCATTTCAAAGTATTATAATTATCTCCAAAGTGGTTTTTCATGTTGCCTTCAAAAGCATCATGACATTTCATGAAGGGATCTTAATTGTTATTTTTTCTGATGTCTCTTTTTAAAAATATTTATTTATTTGTAATGTATACAATATTCTGTCACCTTCCTGGACCCGGAGGGAGGGGGGAGGAACTTGGATTCCCCACAGGACAGGAAACCCTGACTGCTCTTGGGAATGGTGAGGGAGGAGGAGAGGGAGTGGGGGGAGCGGGAGGGTATTGGGAGGAGGGGAGGAAGTGGAAAGAGTGTTTTCGGATACTTGAATAAACAAACAAACAAAAAAAAAGAATAAGATACCATTAAAAAAAATGTTTGACCAATCAGAATATTGGTTGCAGCTTTATATTGTTTGTATTTCAATTTCAGAATTTCATTCATCTTTTTAAATACATATTTTATTATTTTATTTTTAAAAAAATTCAGTCTGTGTGTATACCTGCAGGCCAGAAGAGGGCACCAAACCCCATTACAAATGGTTGTGAGCCACCATGTGGTTGCCGGGAATTGAACTCAGGACCTTTGGAAGAGCAGGCAATGCTTTTAACCTCTGAGCCATCTCTCCAGCCCTCTTATGTTTCTTTGGGGTTGAATTTCAAACACGGCCACTTTTCAACTTTTTGGTTTTGGGGGGGGGTTGTTTTGTTTTTTTGTTTTGTTTTGTTTTTTGAGATAGGGTTTCACTGTGTAGCTCTGGCTGTCCTGGAACTCCCTCTGTAAACCAGGCCGGCCTCTGTTTTTCAGTATTCTAAAAAAAGCGCTATCACACATGAAGATATGCTTCATATTGAGACTATTTTCACGGGAAAAGGCACATGGTTGATTCAGTGGTCTGTAAGCTACCAGGGATGGTTCTCATTCCCGAGTGTGTTTTCCTCAAACAGAGAGTTCGTGGATTATGAAGGATGCCCACTCCATAAACTGTGTGGAATCCGATGTGACAAGTGCCCAGACTAAGAATACAGTCGGCGCAGCCAGAGGTGTAGCCCTTGCCATGACCAGCAGTCAGCTAGAGACCCCGACCCAGCTCCCTGCTTCTGCCATCCACTGCTGGCAGGGGCAGCAGGATTCGCGGATCAAAAGCAGTTACCCTGGAGGTAACTGCTCGTTACCTCGTTACTTTGTCTAACTCTGAAAATGAAAGCATTTTCAGAAGCCTTGGCCGCTGGCCAACAGATAGAGGAGTCTCCGCCCTGAATGTTTCCAAGACCTTGCATGGGGAATTGCTAAAGACCTCAGAGAGCCCCTTCCCAGCACTCCCAGGGAAGAACTGCGGATAAAAACTGATGTCACCTATGAGACTACCAAATTTACTTTGTAAACTTAAGCTGATTCCCAAAATTTGCATCCTCCATCCTCTGGGACTCAGGAGTAGCAGCTGAGGGGGAAAAAAAGAGACCTAAACCTAACAGATGGAGCTTGGTTGGGAGAGAGAAGGCTTTGGGGGACACTCAAGGCACTGGGAGGGTTGATGGCTGGGCCTGGAGACATTTCTGGTGCTCCGCAGGAAGGGGAAGAGGACTCAGGAGCTAAGCAATCACTAAATGACCTAACCCAATGCCATGGCCAGAGGGTGGGGCCAGGCAGTGCAGACTTTTCCCCTGCTCTGGTACTGCCCTTCCTGGACAGCCTGGTGGAGGAGCGGGGACACCGCTCAGCGCCACATCCACTGAAGAGGTTCAGAGTAGCCAGAGAAAAGGCATAAAAATAGTTCGGGGGCAAGTAGGAGGTCATTTCATGCAGTGTTCCTTGGACACAGTGGACAGCCAAACCACCCAGGAGTGACAGAAGCAGAGGGGGCAGGGAGCTGAAGGGTGAACCTTCGCTGCCTGGTCTACCATTGGGAGTCCAAGCCAACTCCTGATAAAAGGAAGGCCGTGGCACAAGACATCAGGTGGCAGTGTGGCAGCCCCTCCCTTCCCTCTCAGTGCAGTTCTTGTGTGCCCAGAGTTTGGGCACCACTAGAGATCTGCTGAGCTAGTTTGGCTCCCAGATTAACTCTGTTCTGCATCTTGAAGCTTCCGGGAACCCAGTGCTGAGATCGTAGACCCAGCAATTCCCGCAAGGAAAAATGTAAATAACGGTAATAAGTTCAGTTTCACGATCGAAAGTCTGTTGACTGACGTACGGACCTAATTTGCTCATTTCTGTCTCCTGGCACAAGCAGATGCTCTATGGACCATCCACTAACAACAAAAACATAAGTGTATGCATGTATGCGGCAGACGCGTTTGGGGCGCGGAGGTGGGGCGGGTGCTCTTACCACAGTGGCCGAACGTTTGGCGTGGGAGACAGTACAGGGCTGAGAAGATGCACCTGCATAGGCGGCAGCTGTGAAGGGTCCAAGCTCCATGCCCCAGAGCGCCACAGTCCCTGCAGAGGCCAGAACAGGTCAACAACGTTGTGTCGGTGTAACCCCCTCTCCCAGTTCAGACCCTTCCCAGCCCACTTGTGCTCCACCCACCTGCGCCTCTGGTCGTGTTCGCAGTAGCGGCCAGTGAAGTGTGCAGGGCACACGCAAAAGCTGCCCAGAACGCAGGTGCCTCCGTTGTGGCAGCAGCGGGATCCAGGGATCGCACCTGCAGGTTGACCTGGGTCAGCAGCTGTGCTAGCCTCTGGAGCTCCCCTAGTCCCCTCCCGCAGAGGGCAGGGCGCCACAGCCTGAGAGGGGACCGTGCCTGCTGCGTGTGTTTGCTAGGTAAACCTCACTCTTTAGCTGAAGGCTGAAAAACAAGCTAGCAGGAATGTGGGCGGGGTCCGGGACAGCCCTTGACACCCTCCAAGCGGCTGCTTCTCTCTCACCCTACCACTGCTAAAGTTAGCATGTGACTTTGTGGACAGTGATTAACCACAGGCCTCCCAGGCAGGACCACCCATGGGTGTGATGACGCTAACGCCACCTGGAGCCTCTCGGAGTGCTGGAGTTGCCTGAATGTTAAGGAAAAGCCTGTTGCCTTAGCAACAGAGGAAAGCTGCTACTTTTGCCCATGAAACAGTGAAATTTGAGTAAACGTATCACTAGAATGTCTTTTTAATTTTTTTTTTTTTAAACTTGAAGGTGAAAAGATGCTCCTTGCGGTGTCTCCTTTTCACCCTGGTTTATCCCACTTGTTTTCCCCCAGAATTCACTGCACAGGATGGCACGGAGTGAAGACTTACTCTCGCCAAAAGTACGGGAGTGAGGAGGGAAGTCCCGTGGGCGCCACCCCTCCTGGCTGCCATTCATTCTGCTGGAGTCACTCAGGGTGCCGTCCAGAGTCGTCCCTGGGAGCTTTGGAGACAGGATATTGCCGACTTCTCTGACACTGTCTGATTCTCTCTGGTAGCCTTTGAAGAACAGCAAAGTAAGAGACTAACTAACGGAGAAACGACTGAGAAACGAGGATTTTATGACTTAGAACTGAAACTCAGGGCGGGGGAAAGTTACTTACTGTTTCCCTGATGGACAAGCTGCAACACTACCGTCATCAAGAGCAGAGGCCTGGAATGTTTCAAGGAAATGGTTGAAGTTTCAAGTATGCAGTCAGTATAAGCACAACTCACATGTCAGTCATGATATAAAATATATAGCACACTTAGAAGTTAACAAAAATTACAAGCCTGTTAATCATTGTAGTACTTGTAGATTTCTGGAGATGCAGTTATAGTTTAAAAATGTTTTGAGATGGAAAATGCCAGAGAATTTTAACCCCCTAGTCTGGCTTTCTAGTACCTGGATGACTTCTGTCCTTACCTGGCTTGGTGCCTTTCCAAACCAACACCTAGGGCTGGTGAGTTCCCTCTCATCTGTGCTTGGGGATCAATAGTCGCAGAAGATGAAGCTCGGTGCCTTAGCCCCGGAGGAGCCCTTCCTCCCGGCCTTGGGATCGCTATAGCAGGTTACAGGAGGCACAAGCTTGCAAGACGGGGATGTCGCTGCCCTCTGCATGGACCAGAAGACACGGAGCTGAAGGAAGATGCTGAAGACCTCAGGCCAGGGTCTGAAGGTCCTTGGATGGACCTCAGGCCATCCAAGCTTGAAGGGCTGTCCCTTAGAGAGAGTCCTGCTGAAGAGGGGGTGGAGACAGGCTGCCTGCCTCCCCAGTGCTATTTACAGTAATGGCAACAGCAGGGTGGCCAATCCTTGATGTAAACCACTGGGGACAGAGACAACAGGCCCTCCTCAACCTCACTAGAAAACAAACAGGAAATTGAAAAGGTTGAAGTCCCAACAGGAACCAAAGAGTTTTCCAGGAGGCTGAATGCTGAGGATAGTCCCTGTACTGGGAGATCTTGAAGGAGAGGGAGCTGGGCAGTGGACTCAGCAGCTGAGGGATGGTGCTTCCATATGTCCTGTGCGCTTAATAGGAAGGCAAAGGGGTCACTGCAGGCTTGGCTTTCTGGGGAGCTGATTTGCTCCCACACATGGAGCCTCTGCCCTCTGCTGTGTACAGCACTCTCTGGGGGAGACAATGTTCTTCCCTGATGTCACAGGTGAGGAAGCTGAACCTGGAGTGATTAAGCCCTTTGACCTGCAAATCACCGAGAAAAAGAAAAAGCAGACGCTACTACGAGGAGCCCACAGCCCATCTATGTGTAGTCCCTTTAGCCTGATACAAAAATGAGATGCTGCAGACTGCAGCCTGAATCTCTGGAGCCGGCGGCCTGGGGCTTCTGCTCCTCAGGTTTTCTATCTGCTAGCATACGACCTGAGCCCTGTCGTTATAGCAGAAGGCACTTTGCAATAGGCGTGGTAAATTCTTCTGTGACTTTAATGTAGGAACTCACTTCTTAAAAATATCGCTTCCTCTGCCATTGCAACAGTGTTTTGGCGCTGACTTCATTCATTTATCCTGTGATCTGCCAGCGAAGGGCTCTGTAAGCTTCCAGGACCAGACAGAGACTGGCAAACACAGTAGGCAAAACTCACAGAGAGGACGGGGCCTCAGGACTTCAGGGAGACACAAAAATACACTTTTAAATGTGATGTTTATTACTGGTAAATTACTCAGTTCAACCAGACGTACAAAACAAATGCATTTTGTAACTTTAAATTAATACAAACTTTCATTAGCTATACAATTGTATATTTTTTTAAAAAGTAGTGCTGGAGAGATGGTTCAGCAGTTAAGAGCACTGTTGCCCTAGCAGAGGGTCTGTGTTCAGTGGCCAGCACCACATGGTGGTTCACAATCATCCATAACTCCACTTCCAGGGAATCCAAAGACCTCACCTGATGTGTGCAGGCACCAGGAATGTATGTGGTACACAGACATGCAGGCAAACAAAATATTCATGCACACAAAATAAAATAAATCTAAAAATAAAAGTCACCCCTCAGCTAAAGGAGTGAGTGCATTTCTTTGCATAAACAATTTTTGAAATGGTCGTTGTACAGAGTGGCCAGGAACTTCCTGAGAATACTCACATTGTAAGGAGCTATCTCGAATCTAATCTCTCCTTCACACGATTTCTTTCACGAAGATTTCCATAAAGGACATTCCAGTGCATACACGAGAGCTGGGAAATTGACCCAGTAAATTCAGATTCACTGTGTTAGTGTTAGTTTTCAGAATTACAAACAGCAGACCCCAGACACTGTGCTTATCCATTTTGCTGCTGTTTTCCTGTGGTTATTTGCTTGCTAGGCAGGAACTAAACCACCTGAGCCACATGCAGCTGCTCAAATGAAGTTGGAAGACCTGCACTTTATTAATGGAAACTAGATGAAGGGAAGGAAATGCCTCACCTGCCAGACAGGAGTGAGAGACAGGAACAGCATGGGTTTGCTTAGGACCCAGCTCTAGGGTTTGCATAGGGCCCAGGGACCTGAGGAGCATCAGAGGGGAGGCCCTGGGTGACAGAACTGGTGATAAACTTTCTCACCATACTGTCACTTGCTCTGCAGCAGGCCTTTGTGGTCCAGGCTGAGCCATTTACTCCCCATCAAAGGAGTTTGGCATGTCACCCTAGACAGGGCTGCTGAATGTCTGCCACCAAGGGGAGCCAGCAGGCAGAAGTGCCTGGCATTGGCTGCCTGGAAGAAGGGGAGAGGACTTGTCTCTGGTTATCAGCTGTAAAGAGATAAGGCTGGAGCCACCAATCTCACCTCCTGGGGGGCCATTGTAACTCCCAGGGTGTGGGAACTGGGACCTCCCTGGCCCAGGACAGGATTGCATGCTGTCCCCTCTCTCAGCACCTAAAGCTATCCCTGAGGAAATGACCTGACAGAGAATAGGTGAGAAGGATTCTCTGAGTATGGCTTAGAGCTCCTTGGGGACAGAAAAAAAAAAAAAAAAAAAAAAAAAAAAACTTGTACTGAAAGACTTTACAGTGAAAACTTTAGGACACTGAAAAAAATAAATTTAAGAAGACACCAGAAGATGGAAGGATGTCCCAGGCTAATAAATTGGTAGGATTAACACTGTGAAGATGCTTATTCTACCAAAAGCAGTCTACAGATTTAGTATACTCCCCATCAAACTCCTAATGCTAGTCTTCACAGAAATTAAAAAAAAATTATCTCAGAATTCATATAGAAATACAAAAGACCCTGGATAGTTGAAACAATCCTGAGCAATCAAACACTAACAGAGAAATCATAATTCCTGATTTCAAGGTATACTGTAAGGCTATAGTAAAACAAAAAACAGAACAACAAAAACCAACACGGTATTGGCATAAAAACAAACAGACTGACCAATGAAATAGAATTGAGAACCCAGATACAAGCCAGCCACATTCCTACAGCCACCTAACTTTTTCTTTCTTTCTTTCTTCCTTTCTTTCTTTCTTTCTTCTTTCTTTCCTTCCTTTTTCCTTCTTGCTTTCTATCTTTCTTTTTTTTTTTTACAAAGAAACCAAGCAAAAACAAAAACAAAAACAACAAAACGCAAAACGCACACACACACACACACACACACACACACACACACATTGGCAAAAACACTGCTTCATTAACAAACCATGTTGGATAGCTATCCAAATGTGGACTGCTACATGTGGAAGAATGGAATTTGATCCTTACCTCTCACCCTGCCAAAACTGAAACCCAGATGAATCAAGGGCCTCTACATATGACCTGATACCATGAATCTGATAAAGCATAAAATAGGAAGCAAGTTTCCATTCAGGGGCACAAGCACGACTTCCTGAAGAGGGCCCTGGCAGTACAGGCATTAAGACCAACAACGGGCTAATGAGACCTCATGAAAATCAGAAGCTTCTTACAACAAGAATGCCATCATTCGAGGGAAGAGGCAGCCTCCAAACTGGGGAAAGTCTTTACCTGCTATACAGTTGACAAAGCATTCTTGTCTAGCATATACAAAGAACTTAGAAAATGAAACATTCAGCAAATACACCACCCAGTTAAAAGTCGGAGCATGGAACAGAATAGAGCAGTTCTTAAGAAGGAAAAAAAAATGATTAAGCAATCTTTAAAAAAAAAATTCAATATTCTTGTCATTATTGAAGTTCAGATTTAAACTACTTTGGGATTTTTTTCCTACCATAATTAGAGGGGCTCAAATCAATAAAACAGGGGGCTGGAGAGATGGCTCAGTGGTTAAGAGCATTGCCTACTCTTCCAAAGGTCCTGAGTTCAATTCCCAGCAACCACATGGTGGCTCACAACCCTCTGTAATGAGGTCTGGTGCCCTCTTCCGGCCTTCAGGCATACACACAGAAAGAATATTGTATACATAATAAAATAAATATTAAAAAAATCAAATCAATAAAACAAATGACAAAAAATGCTGGCCGCTGTAGAAATCAGTGTGGTGGTTCCTCAAAATGCTAGGACTAGCTCTGTCGTGTGATGCAACTCCTGGGCATATACTCAAAGGACTCTAAATCCTACTACAGAAATATTTGGTCATTCATGTCCTTTTCGGCTCTATTCACAGCCTACAAGAAATAAAAACAGCTTAGCCATCCATCACTGGATGGCGGGGTGATGAAAACATGGTTCATATACACAGAGGAATAGTATTCCACTGTAAACAAAAATGAAATCATGAAATTCACAGCTACATGGAAGGAAATCAAAATAATCATTTGGAGTGAGATAATCCAGATCCTGGAAGGCAAATGCCACATGCTCTCTCTCTCTCTCTCTCTCTCTCTCTCTCTCTCTCTCTCTCTCTC